AAGAGGGTGACAACGTGACGGGACAATAATGTGTGTGTAGATAGTGAGTAACTGAACTGCAGTCAGCGAGTATTATCGAGAGAGACTACAACAGTGGTTGGAGGAGAAAGAAAATAAACAAGAAGAAAGTCTCCAACAGTTGAGAGAAAGCCAGCATACACAAGTGGAAACGCTTAGTAAATTTCAAAATGAATGAAATACATTAAAGGATGATTTACTGTCTTTTACACAAGGAGGATATATTAGCCATCAACATAATCAGCCCCAGACAATGGGAAGCCCCTTCCATACCCCGCAGCTAAACCCTAATACAGACATCTTCAGTCCTGTCAGAAGTCACATTCCAGATATGAGTGTCAGCAATAAGGGTGATCTATTACGAAGGAAGCCACAGGAATTCGATGAGAAGGCACCGTGGGAAGCATATACAGCACAATTCGAGCTCCTGGTAGAAATGAATGGATGAACAGAGCAGCAGAAGACAGTGTACCTAGCAACGAGCTTGAAGGGACAACCACTGGAAATACTTGGACAGTTGTCAGCAGATGACAGGCACAACTTTAGAGCACTGGTAGCTGCTCTAGAGCTCAGGTATGGAGCTTAAAATCAGTCCAAAGTCTACAGGGCTAGGTTAAGGACTAGAGTCTGTGCTAAAGGGAGAGCCTGCAAGAGCTGGCACAGGACTTGGAAACTATGGCACACAAGGCCTACCCAACTGCACCACCTGATGTCCTCAAGCTTTTGCTGAAGGATCAGTTTGTAGATGCTTTTGGCAGTCCACAACTGAAGATACAATTGAAGCAAGTGCACCCCTCTACTATGCAGGATGCAATGGCCAGAGCTCTTGAATTCGAATCCTATGTTAAGTCCAGCACAGAGGTACCAAGGTTGGTACAGTCATCGGGATTCAAGGCCAGAAAAGGTCAGCTTTCAGAGAGGTTTGAGGGACTTTGCTGGCACTGTAACAAACCTGGGCACAAGAGAGCTCAATGCCGGCAACTTCAACACAGAGAAGATGCCATGGCAGGAAATGCTGCTACCCAGAAAGGTTGTTGGAATTGTGGAGAGCATGTGCATATGAGAAGCCAGTGTAAGAAGAATACTACCAATAAGTCAGCCTCGGAGACACCAATAGTGGTTGGTGTTGAGGGACACCCATCAACCCCCACCGTGAAAGTACCAACAGCTAAGTGTATAATGCCAAGCACACAGAGTGTCTATGTGACAAGAAAGTCGGATGGCCAAAAGTGCAACTTAGTCATAGATTCTGTATCTCAGCAAACCCTTGTGAGCATCGAGGTGCTAGATGACAAAGGAGCACCAGATGCCATATAGAAGCTTTGTGGTGTGACAGGACATAAAGCAAGGTTGTGGGGACCAGTGTGGGTAACTATTGAGCTCATGGGCATGAAGGACAGACACAAAGTATAC